CTTATAATTAATCTAAAGGAGATATATTAGTCTCTATACTTCTCAACCATTCAGGTGTTAATAGAAGTTTCAATGTGCCGGCTAGTTCTTCTACTGTTCGAGTGGCATAGTTTAACTAGAAACTATCAAGTTGTTTTTCGCTACGTAGTGCTTATCTGCATTGTGGTTCTCGTTTTTCATGCATAATCATGCCTACTGGAGGAGTACATGTAGCATAGTGGTTAGAGGCGTCCTGCAGTACACGTGAGATCGACCGTGCGCCCTAAGCCCACCAATCCCTCCGTCCCTCTGGAGTCGACCAATTGGCACCATACTTGTCTGGGAGGAGAGCAGCACTGAACCGATACATTGGTAGGCCACCGCGAGTCATTGTGTAGACTAGATGTTCATCTAGTCACCTCTAACGATGTGCTGAAATCGAATGCACGGACCATCCCCGAAGAATTGATGAGCACGGAGAGCTTCATTCTTTTTTTTGAACCTGTTGGAGGACCTACTTTTGAAAGTCGTCAGTCTGCGGTGAAAGCATTGTGTGGAGTTGTGGTGCTTCTTGATCTATTCGGTCAATCGATGTACCATATCATCAAGCTCTGCTAACGATGCGCAATGACGATCGTTGTTTGGCAAGGTGCAAAGGAGAACAGAACTATAGGCGACGACTTAGCCACTCATTGTTAAAATTTTGTGATGGTGTCGAAAATCCTATGCTGAAGCAAAATAGTACTGTGTGGGAAAATGAGAAATAGATTAAGAGACTGATGTACGCGTGGGAAGAAACCCAGTGATTCGACAAGAGAAATGGAAGAACAGATAAAAAAAGTCTGCCGCGATTGATCATGTTAACTGATAGCGATTGCGCTTGAAATACCAGTCGGTAGAGTTCACTTGGTCATTTTCCACCTCATCGATGGCATCAACTGGTAAGCAACTCATTCACTTTGATAAAACGTGTGTTATGAGGAAGTTGTTGAAGAAAAAACCAGCGTTTTATAAAAATATTCGAACAGAGACGGCAGAACAATGCGAGTAAATGAATCATTACAACAAACTATAGATTCATTGTCAAGAGGAATTAGACGGAGCACATCTGTGATGTATTGAAGTAGTTGGTAATTGGTTAGGTGCACATTAAGTGACGAGTGAAGCTTAAAAAGAACAAGGGATAATGCCTTTGGCGTTAAACAAACCATAAAAGACGTTCCATGAATTCGGCTTCACCAAGCATCATTAGAAGAGGTTGAAGGAATATCTGGTCTATACACTAACTTGCGATTGCCTACCATGTATCAAGTCAGTGCTGCTGTCCATCTAGAAAAATCTGGTGCCAGTTTTTAAGGAGGAACTAGTGGCTAGGCATCACCGGGGCGCAGGGTTGAACCATAGGTGACGTGTGTATTGAAGGACACCTCTAAGCATTTAAGGCTTATGAATTACAAAAATCACCGTTTCTACAGATTAAAAAATGTTCTGACAAGATAGTTACGCTAATATAATATGTAGAGCCTTCCGACGGTTTGCCGCTTCACCGTACCTTGGAAATGTTCCTAGGCGTCGGGCTGCCATGTGGAGCGGGTGGATTCATCCCACTGATAGGATTTCAGGAAGCCCAACTAAGTGTAAACTAATACCAGAATCCACCATCGTCCTTGTGTCGAACTAGTTGCGTGGTGGCAAATTCCCCTCTTATCCACAAGGACGGCGAATGCCTGTGGTGGTGACGACCTGGTGCGGACTTTGACTACGCTGACTTCGGGACTCCAGGGAAACACAATGGTTAAGCCAGCAAAACTCCGAAAAATGAAGATAATGCTGAGGCCCGCACAACTAGTGGGGACGAGCCGTCCAAATAACTAAGTAATATGTAGATGATCCGCTTAGAGGTATTGCGACGGTATCAGCACTCAACACAACACTATTCGTAGTGTTTCAACCACCACCGTTGTAATCTGAAGACCTATCTATCAATCTTTCTCCACCAGCAATCATCCGTCAACGGATTAAAAACTAGCTAAGAGACAGGCGAAACGAAGGACCCGCATGGTGTGGTGGTGAACGCGTTACTCCCCGGAAAGGATAATAACGCGTTCGTTCCCCACCGCAGACACCTGCGGTCCGGAGCTCTGCAAATATCTCAGCATCATTGAATACTGATTGGGTTCGATACCGATTTGCGCCACCAATGTTATTCCCGTTAACGGATGATGACCACCGTTAGGGTAAAAAAAATTGTATGAGAGGAAGTCAAAGCAAGGTTTCGGTGACGTGGTGGGTAACACCGGTACTCCGGAAATGAAAATCGCAGGTCGGAGGCTCAACTGAGCTTCCGATTTTTGATCATTCGCTTTAAACAACCCATTTTTAACTAGAAAAACCAGTTCTCCACGTATTCAGATTAACTACTGAGTTGAAATAGGGAGATGAGGTGAGGAGAGTGATGACGGACTAGAGCCTCATTCGTGATTATTGGAATCATCATCACTGTGCTATCCGTGCTCACAAATGTTCAGTACTTATATTAAACATCTCTCTATGCCAATTACAAATTTTTAAAATCCTTTTCGTACCGATTGAAAAGTTTGTAATTTGTTGTTGTATAAGAGACGTTATTTACTTACTTCCTTAAATATTTGGACCGCTCGTATTCACGAGTGATGCTAACCACAGCATATCCTCCATTCGATTCTTTGCTTCGTAATCGTCGCGCATAGTGGCGGGTTTCCTCGAGCATCGTGACGGGTGCGAGTCTCATACCGTGATCTTTAAAACAATCGCAGCTGCGAGCACAGCCGATTAACTTTGCTTGAGAACACGTCCGCCGAACGTGTAGGCGGCCGTCCTAGGGGTCGTCTACATCCTTGTGGAGTCAACTCTAAAACTAACAGTTTTCTTCTGTCCACCTGTTGTCTGTCCTTCTCATTATACGACCGGCCCAACTATGTTTCGCTATCGATGTGTGTTCGCTTAGATCTCGAAGATAAGATAGATTTCGAAAATCAGAGCTTCGCATTCCGGCTGGTTGTTGTGTGTACCGGTTATATTTCGGGAGACACCGTTCAAGACCTGTGTCAGTGGTACGAAGTATTGACGTTGGTCAACTATCAACCCACGTCTCTGCTGCAAAACAGAGCGCATGAAGGACTTTTCGGCAAAAAGACGACAGTGGAATTTCGGTTCGGTTAGTTGGTGGACGATTTCTTTGAGAGGGTCGAATATCCTCATGTTCGGTTGTTGGTTCGATCCCGCGCCTGTTGGCTAGCCAAGTTTCGTATCGTTCCCGAATCGCTCGTTTGGTACTAAATTTTTCCCTCTGGAGAAAATAAATACACTGACTTGATGAGCCGTAACGCTTCACAGGTCTTCTATTCTATAGGCCAGAGCATAGGATCGAATGCACTGTACATACAGAAGCGATTGATCCATGCCGAACGTTTATACTCCTATCTTTCATATTTGTACTTAAAAAAGCTGAAAACAGAATTTTAGAACATGTATCATGCATGACAGGAAAGTTGGTTTTGTAAGCCATAGAACTGTCAATGTATGACAATGAACAGGTCTAACACATCGATTCGGGATCCAATGAAAAAGTGTTCACCATGTCATAACCGCTGTGATGAGACATTTTAGTTGATTTGCTGACGAATATAGAGTGAATTGTATCCAATAGATAGTTAATTCTCTAATATTAATTTGATTAATGAAACAAACTCGTAATGAATTGAAAAAATGGTACTTCAACGACTTCATGACTGTTCACTGTTTAACTACAGAATACTGCAGGAGTGCTGGAGAATCTCACCTTGTCTCCACCACCTGGCGATTCTGCAACGACTACGGGTTTTATATCCCAGTACTTCAATATTGTTGTACAAGAAATTAGAAATTTCTTAAAGTGGTCGTTTGTATGCGATGAGTCTGCACAAAAAGAACAGTAAGTAGTTAAGTTGGACTTTGAATTAAATTAATATCTACTATAAATACTCCACTGTTGGACAGGATTTACGAATGATACGCACTGTTGACGGCGGCTTAATAATCTCATTTCGAATTATGATATGCTATGGTCACAATTGTTTTACCAACTATCCATTTCAAACAAAACAAACAAGTAACGAGTAACAAAATAAACTCACTCAAGGATATTAGGATTTCAACAAAAGCAATTCTCACCTCTTATAGATCCACGGAAAGCTGCGCCGCCTTCCGGATGGGCTTTCTTTTTCTTCAGGAACCTAGCAGTCTCGGACACAAGTTTTCTCTAAACTGAGATTTCGGACAAGAACAGCGACCGCGTCTAAGCACAGATGCTGTAGTTTGAATGAACGACTATACTTGGCCTTAAATCCTTACGAGAGTAACCATGTTACGATGAAATGAAAATAATTGGGGTGCTCGTATTCGTCGTGCAATTTATTGAGCACCATGTTATGATGCCAGAAGCGTGGGTGGCACACTGGTATCCTGTAATATACACGTAGTCGTTGATTCCACGATGCAAATCATGCTCAGCCTTCCACTCGTATCTAAAAATTGCTTCTTGAGTTTTAAAGGAAGAAAAAACTTCATACTTTACACTTCAGTTTTCTCTAGCAAGTATAGGTCAAATGAGGTTGAATACATGGCGTATCCATAACGGACTAATCAACGCCAAATGGCTTACGCTTTTTTAAGTACTTCACGCGCCATATAATTATCTCTCTTTGTCAGGAGTCAGCTTGAAAAAATCATTGGTTCAACTGGGCTCGATCCAACTGCACCCAGTGACTTGCATAATGTCACCGAGACCAGCATGTTTAATCCAGTTACGTAAGTGATTTTGATGTATCGACTAGGAATTCAGCTTTTTTGTTTTGGTGCTACGCCTCTGTTCGGTTGTCGTATATCAAGTACACTTTTTTATAGGCATCATCAGTATCTTTCCCAGTTCTTGCCAACTTTGACAATATTGTTAGCCTCTTTTCACTTTCGCATCGACTCTGTCTTCTCTTCGTTTTAGAATAATGGCAATTGTTATCATCACATTTTGCGTGTTCTACTTTATTGATTTCATCACACAACTCTTTGGCGGAGTTACTTCAGCAATCGGTGTACCCAGTGCATCCATGTCACAAGCAGTGAGTGTTCAGACTAAAAGCGCTAAAATTAAAAATGTCAACTACAAAAAAGTTTTTCTTTAACCCAATAATCTTAAAACGTGACACTTGTCGTTACCTATTTCATGTCATTTGTACGCTTTTTAGACAACATTCTTTCGGCTTGCAAAATTTTTGAAAGGAGCAAAAACTCTAAAAAGAAGCCTGGGTGACAATATTTCGCTTCACACCTTTCTCTGCTCACCTGCTCTGCGTGAAATTGTACAGAAAAAAGAGACGATACCTCTATAGCTTTCATTTTGTGCTGAACGAAACATATTAGACGGAACAGAGAGTCAAATTGTTGTGAGATATATTTCTTGGCCTGCCTCCATTTATTGCACTGTGGGTTATCTGTAGAAGACAGAAAGTTTTAAAAATTTGTGATTAAATTGCTTTTGCAGTTTATCGAACCGGTAGTGTCGAAGACACGAAAACGTCGAAAAGGCATGCATTTACAAGAGAGCTGCACTCAAAACTCGTCGTCAATTTCACAAGCCGACAGCACTCAAGCGAACACGAGTTCAACAGTGGACACCGCGAAGTCAATGAAGGATATGTTGACTAAGAGCTTCCGACCAGGATCAAGAACGCATGCACCACCGGAATCCTCACAGAAACCGGTAGTCTGCTATCTGTCATTACAAAAGAGCAACATTGTAGTATTATTTTTTTGCTTCTCTTTTAGTAATGACGAAAATCTATCATGTTTTTTTCCACCGTGTTAGGCAGATGGACGATTTTATCATGCTCTTAAACCCAACAAAAATCCTTTTGCTGTGTTCGTCTCATGCTGGAATGTGCACTATAATACGTAGGATCCAAGAGTTGCTAGAGTTGAGTACACACATCTTGCAAAAGTCGTCTAAGGTTGCTAAGAGGAGTATATTGATGGAAAGTAATCTCAGGAATGAAAGTGCCGCTTTTTTGCTGATAATGTCAAATGAGGAAACTGAGCAGTGTTAGCCCAATGAATACCTGTTTCCTAAAACTAACAGCAGCAAAATATTTCTTTACCAATTTCGTAATCACCCCATAAGGGCAACTTTCAGTTAGTCCTCACATTGATCAATAAATCACTACGTTCTTACGAACTGTTCTCTATGAGCTAAAGTAATATTGCTAGCAAGCATTTTGTTCCTAGCAGCTTACGATTCGGCAGATATCGTGTAACCATTATTTTTATACGGATTGTCGCCTTTCTTCTAAAGGTTAGGAGATTTAGAACGGGATTTTTGCAGACGATGTTCACCTGAACGTTAGTCATTACGAAAGCCCTCTTTTACTGCATTCCACTAAGAAATAAAGATCGTTAAACAATAGTGCCAGAGCAACAAGCTCAGTGCTACCTCTGGTAATTTTTACAAGCTTGAAGTGGTCTCCTGTGAACAAACGATATAACTATGGAGTAAATGGCATGGCATCACAGGATGAGAACCATACGAGCTCATATTCCTGTATTTGGTTACGTTAGGATCACTTGGTAACATTTCTTTAAGGCAGCTGCTATGACTCAGTTGAAGCCCGTCAGTGCGGCAGACATCTCATCGAGTAGAAATCTGGCTGGGCGCTCACCAGGCACAACCGAACAGACGCCCGAAACTCGTAAAGTTGGTCCAATGCTTTCAAAAAATACGCAGGCAAGTCCTTGTCAATCACTCAGCAAATGAGTACTGCACATTACTTAAATAACATTTAGAAGGTGTCCAGTTAAGCAATGGTTCCTATATAGTGATAAAGTTTTGCTGGTATATCTATCAGAGATAAATCTCTCTTACTCCGCTAGACATGATCGAAGAACTGGCTCAACATTCTCATCCTTGGGATATACTTATTCGAATCGTAAACACCAGCATTAAATTATTGATATTAGAATTTAGCACTGCTTTCTTCTTATTTCTACATTATTCTTTCCATTTTCGCTCCATGTCTGCCTACTAGGTCTTTAGTGCAATAGAGCACGATTCTCAGTGTCATTGAGTGTGACTTGCTTTCATTTATTTCTTGTTGCAATGACTTTCCATGATGACCTGGGTGCTCTCTTGGAAAGCTTGGTCCAAACTTTTTTGGTGTTTATTCACATTATTTTCACACTATAACACTCAGGATAGGTGGTATTCACGTTAAATGGTTGTAGAATCTTTTTCCGATAGCTCAATTTTCCACCTTCGTGCCAATGATGTGTGTACATCATCGTAGATGAATTTGTTCTTAGGTGTCGAATTGCTAAGCAGACACATCCCGTCCTCGTTCAACCCAGGTTCGTTCAATTCGAATCTGATGTCGGAGTTTCGATGCGAAAGCCTAGCTAAGATTAAGTGAGAACAGAGATCCCCGCGCCCTATTAGCAAGCTAGTCGCAAAACATCGAATATGCTTCTGATCAGCGATTGCCTGTGATGGCAGCGTTGCAGTCTCGTAGAATGGCTATCTCGGATTTTTGTGTGCACCAATGTTCCCTGACGACCAAATTACTAGTCAACAAGAACTTCTACCACTATCAAAAATATTTTCGTGAAGACAAGATATTTAAATATCCAAGTGCAAGCTCTATTCCATTTATTGTACATCACAACTGTCCGTGTCATTTCTGTTCACTGAACCTGCATCGTTCTTCAACGGTTTTTGGATGAGCAACTTTGTTTCTTTGTCTTAAGGCCCGATACATTCAACATTCGCTCATGGGTTTCCTTGATCGGTGTGACTTTGTTGAATAAAATGTAAAATTCTAGAACCTTTTGTCGACGGTATGCCCATTAATAAATAAAGCTTATTCCGCCCCCCCCCACCAGCCTCATTAAGCACAGTTCTAACAGTTCTTTCTCAGCTGAGTCCAATGTGCATATCAAATGCGATTTCATGTTTTTTTCACCATCTGGTGATACATTATGGCCTCCATCAGCTCTGGTTGCTTTCGACGTTATACTTCCACATAAACCTTTGAACTGTCTTTGTCTCGTTCGAAACAAAACCGATTTTCCTGGAACGAATGAATTTCTTGGCTTCGGCGGTTCTCTCTTCTCTTTTTACATCCTTCCTTATCTCACATCACAAAAATTATTGGTTAGTCACTAGAAATCTGTTCTAAATTTTCTTACCAATATTCCCATTTAAAAGCATTTTTTAGAATCGGTGCTACTTTATGATTCTTCTTAATGAAAAAGGACTAATGTCGCTTGAACGGTGCACTATGCGGGCCAATCAACCTATAATTAAAATTTCGTCATACCGTGTTGATTCTGCGAGGGGCTCTCATGGGTGATTAAACCGTGTGGCGTGTGGCGCAGTGATCGGAGGCGCCCTGCTACACACACGTGAAATCGATCCCCGCGCCCATGGCCCCACCAAGCCTTCCATACTTCCGGGTCGGCAGATTTGTACCAGACTTGTCTGAGAGAATAACAACACTGACACGATGCATCGGTTGACTACCGCGAGTCACTGTAAAGGCCAGACATGCATTCAATCACCTCCAAACGATGCCTAATGAAGTCGAATGCACAAATGCAAGTACTGTTCATGGGAATCGATAACTCAATAATTGAAGACTACTGCATGAAACAAGGAGGAAAGTGATGCAGACGGTGCGACGAGTATCCAAGCGAAAGGGTTGACCCTACTTATGTTCAAATAGGTCGAAGAAGGTGGGAAGGTCGAGATATCAAGTGACACTAACCTGTCTAGTGGTTATAAATGGGCACGGATGCATGTGGTGAAATGTCAAGTAATTTGACACACAATGGATTACACGAAAGCAGTAAATAGTGCTAAAAAAGTACATATTTATATAAAAGATGAAAGATAGAGAACATTTCACAGAGAGTGTTTCCTATACAATCTAATATGTAAAAAATAAAGGTATAAAGCTCTCGGTGTTGACCAATCCCTGAGTGATGTTCCATACATCAGACTTCATTAAGCATCGTAGGAGGTGGTTGAATCCATATCTAGCCAATATCTATACTCGCGGTGGCCTACCATATATCGAATCAGTGCTGCTATCCTCTCAGACACATCTAGTACCAATTCGCCGACCCGGAGGGGATGGCTTGGTGATCCTGGGACGCGTGGATCGATCCCATGCGGGCGCGTCCGCCCACTGCCCTACACGCGCCCACACTTCAATAAATAAATAAATATATATATATATACGTATGTTTGTAAATCTCCCGCATACAAAACACGGGACTACTCCAAAGCTATTCATTATGACACTTCACCACGCCATTTTCTAGTAAATGGTGTTCATATTCAGACTAGTGCGACGAGAGATGTCAACAGAGATTACTGCGATACTCCAAGTGTTGAATTTCTCTGCTACGACCAACTTGACGAAGTAAGTTAACCAAAACGAAGAAAAAAAAAGGTTGTGTACAAATATGTGTATATATGTATATATGTATATATATATAAATATGCATACGTATGGCTTACCATATGTCCCCATGCTGACTGTTTGTTGAATAAGTGCACTGAGTTGATGAAAATAAGACAGAGTGGTCTCTTGTACTTTCACGATCCTTCAATGAGTTGCTTCATTGTATGGAAGTGTTCTACCGTACTGAACCCATTTTCAACGAAAATTCTGAAGCCGCGCTGGCTCATACGGCTCTCTTTCGTCCAGTACTCTCTCAGCTCTGTTAAGGTTGGGTCGACTTATTTACCATTGTTCGTTTTACAGTTTCATTTACCCCCGAATTGTAACACGATTTACGATAAGCGCTATGGATTACCGTACGCAGATGATTTTTCGGGTGATGAATTTGGTCACTATCAATACGAACAAGCTCAGGTATAGAATTCTTCACACTTAATTTTTTCTTACTATCGTTTATTTTGGGCACAACTTCCTTTAATATTTTAGGTTTATTTGCAGTACATTGCTAAATTAGATGAAGTTCGCACTGAGTTCTCGATCGACGACGTCTCAGATCCCGACAAATCACTAGACGAATGGGAAAACCTTGATGTTTGTGAAATTCTTCGCCTGTCCAATTGAATTTTTAAAACTTTCTACTAAATCTTTATCCGATATCCCTTTTTTTCGTCTTTCGAGTTCAGTAATCCTAGATCACAAATTTGCAGGCCGTTGGCATGTCGCCTGATATGCCAACGATGACGTCGTCTGATGATGATTGTACCGAATCAATATACGACCAAGCTTTAAATGTATTCAATAGGATAATAGCAAAAAAAGAAAATCAAGCACAGAAGAACATTTTCAACGCTCAGGAAGGACGTACGGAAGTCAGCACGTTTCTATTAAGTCCATTTGAATTCGAGGCGATCTCAAATTTATGTCGTTTCAATAACATGTCGCCGGTGACGAGCGTCTTAATCAGCAAGTCTCATTCGACGAGTATAATATGCCGCAAAATTTGCTACTTAGGCTCTTTTAAAATAGATATGATTCTGCAGGCATCTTTATATGAAATGTATAAATATATTTTAGAAGGGACCAGGAGATTTTGAGTGCATTACAAAAACTACCGAAATGGAAAAGTTGCTCTCTTCGTCAGAGGAGAGTCAAAACAAATTGGACAAAGGTGATATGCGGCCTGAACAAAATGATAATCTTCGTCGTGTCCCAAATTTTCTGGATTCAGAAGTCCAAGCTCGATGCGATGTTGAGGATACTGAGGTGCCACGTGAACTTAGTTTATCTAACTGCGAGGTTTGTTTTGATCCTCTGAACTTCTTTTGGTTAGTAATGTGGGCGAAAAGAGCGCAGAGTACAAATTCATGTGAAACATGAAAAGAAAATGAAAGCGGCCACAATAGAATGATCTTTCCCAAGACCGACTTTCTGTTAACCTCGGCATTAATTGATAATTCAATGTTTTTCATCAATGTCTCGTGTCTGCTTATTGATGAAAAACATAGAATGATCTTTATTGGTTTTTGCTCAAATCGGCTCTGACTTTATGAAAGTCTTTCTTACATATTGTTTAACCCTTACTTACCCTCTAGTTTTTTTCATGGCCATGTATTATTTAAAATAGAAACACAATGATGCGAAGTTATGAGCCAAACTGTCTGGGAGAAGTACAATGTTAGGGGTGCGATGGTACAGTGGATAATACGTGAGGACGCCCAAAAGGCAATAGCGAGTTCGAAACTTAACTAGGGCTAGAAATTTTACTCATATCTTTCTTACATATTCGCTCGCTTTGATGACCACTGACCTAAGCAATGTTTCATGAAGGTTAGTCAGGCACTCATTCAATGAAAACGGAAATAGTTCTTGTTCAGGAACCGTTACATTCTCATCGTTCACAGTTGTCTGTAGACGATAACGCTTCCCATTCTGAAGATGGTAAAGTTTATCACCTTGTCAATAAGTTGTGATACCTTTTCCGAGAAATTGTTCTTATCACTTTATGAAAAATATTTTTTACCCATTAGGTAATGCGGGAGTGCACAATTGAGTTTTAGTGTAAATTTAGCATTAAAGTTTCACTCGGTAGCTAGTCCTAGCCATATCACCTAAATTTCTTGGCATGATGTAAACGAACCATGTACTGTTTTATATGCGATGTCTTGCAGAGTATTTTAAAAAGTTCTCATTGCACTCTTGTTGTTATCGGACCTCTATTTTCCATAGTCCCTATTCATTGGCTTCCTGGCATGTGGTGATGAAAAGAGTTCCTAGGTGTCGCAATGTGGTCTTTAGCAAGGAAAGAATCGCCTAGAAGGGTAAACCAAGCTGAGAAGTTTGACATTTACACTCAGAAACGCAGCAAGGACCTAAAACTATGCGTAAGCGGAACACTAGTGGCTTACCTTTTAACCAAAAAAGATATGAAAATCTTACTACGAAAAGTGAACGGAGAAGTGAAACGGAACTAACCAGTGTTTAATGAACAATAATATCCCTTTCGATATCGTCCGGAGCTCACCAAGCATCTCATCCCTTCGGAGTCGGGGAACTGCTACCAGAACTGCGTACGGAGAAGTTTACATTCTGCAATCCCAGTGGGAACGCTCTTCCCTGGCTATCTAAAGACTCCAAGGAGAATCTTTTCGACCAGCATTCAACGACATTTATGACGAGAGGAAATTTCTCAAGCAGCGGCAGAACCTACACTTAAAAACTTGGAACGCTCTTGTAAATGATGGGTGGGAGGAAATGAACGGAATGCAAGAAATGCTACGCACAGCAGATGTGGAAAACGGGTCGTGTAAAGAAGTGCCTTTATTATGCTTTAACTTTCATTTGCTGCCTATTTTTTCTCGGCAGAGTATGATATGAAATACAACCACAAGAATGCCTAGAGGTTAGAAAAAAGGATAAGGTAGCAAATAAAAACTAAAACGGCATCTACTACTCAGTGACATCTACTCATGCCGATTTGTGCTCCCCAGATCATCCCCACTGACGGGCGACTGTCAATAGCACCGTTGAGATAAAAAAAAAGAGGCAAAGGAAGCGCAAAGCAAAGCTCTCTGTTGGTGTAATGGATAGCATGTGAGTCCTTGGAAAAAGGACAATGGCGGATTCGAAGCCTAATTGAAGTTCCAAGTCTTACTCATATCTCAGAACCGTTGTAATTATCTTTATTATAACTCTAAGGCAGACTTTCTATAAACCTCGACATAAAAATTGGCATATTTATTCATATGTTCTTATGAACTGATCTTGTTGAGCTAATGCCAAGGTGGTATAAGCTGTCGTTGTTGTTTTTGTTGCTGGTCGATGGCTGGGAGAGTTCCACTCGTAATAGCATGGCTCTGAGGAAGGCAAAGTCGCCGAAACGTCAGCCATCGACCAACCAACAACAACAACAACAACAACAGCAAAAGACAACGACAACTTATACCAACCTTGCATCAGCTCATCAGTTCATAGGAATATATAAATAATTATATCTTTATTATATTATGGATATATATTATGTCATATTATTATGTACAATTATGTTCACTGAACTATTTCAGGACGTCGTACAGCCAAATCGCTGAGTGTGTTTAGTATAAGGCAATCGATGGAGATTCGCGGCTATCATCATGTTCTTTTCACTTATCCAGATCCAACACCACATAAGGTATTTTCACTTCTAGGCTTTTAATGTTTAAAAACCCTCCTAAAATAAAGTCCTTTGCAATATGTATTACTTTGTCTTCTCTATTCTTCAGTAGAGTAATGTTGGATGTGTTTTTTCTGCTTGCCGTGCAAAAAACCATAAACATGTGCGAATAAAACATAATTGAAGAAAAGAATAAGTAAATCCTACACAGGTTAAACAACAAAAGATAGCTTTATGTTCTATGAAAACTGGAGATAAATGAAAAAGTTTACCTTTTTGCTAAGTCTCAAAGAAATATGTCGTCCTCCACGTCTCTGCCTACATTTAGCCCTCCTAATTGATCTTCGCATAATAACGGAAACATAAAGCTATGTTTTAGTTTTAGAACAAAATTTCATTATGTTTGCTGAAGGGCGAGTGTAGCGCAGTAGTGGTCAGAGGCACTCTGCAATCCACATAGGATGGATCCCTGTGTCCAAGGCTCACCATTCCTCCATCCCTCCGAGGTCGGCAAATTGGTAGCAGATTTCTATAGGATCATAACAGTGGTGATCCAATATATCGGTAGACCACCACGAGTCATTGTAAAGGCCAGATATGCATTTAATCACCTCTAACGATGTTAATGAATTCGAATGTATGCCGCATCCCCCAGAGAGTGATCAACGCCGAGAGCCTTATGTATTTTATGTTTGCTGAAGGGATGAATTATCGTTGGACGAAAATCGAGCCAAACAGGCTGCATTCAGCCAAACAGGAGTTCAATGTGTTGCCATGTAGGCTAGTTATACGAGATATTGGGACGACTTTAGCAAACCAAATAAACTGCAGCAGTAATGTGAGCAATGCGCATTAGCATAATGTATGTAGCAATATAATATGACATCAATAACAATACTCCGCAGGTTATAGTTAGATGTAAATAATAACATAATATATACCGTACTAATGCAATAAAAATAATAGTACTAAATAATAAATTAAATAACGTCATTACAATATTCGTCTCAAAGCGTACGCCTATAGAGTTTGATGGCTGCGTTGAAATGACAAGAAGAAACTTAAAGATTTTTAAAATTTTGCAATTAATATAAAACGAACAGCGTGCGTCGAGTATCCTATGCACAAAAAAAAATCTGTGTGCTCATCATTGAATTGTTCACACATCTAATGAGACTTTCTTTAGGTCTTTTTGACTGGATCATTTTTCGGATGGAAAATGTCATTACCGATGCAACGTGAACGGTAACCAATCTTCTATTATAGGTTAATTCCACTTAATTTCTTCAACAACTAATTTCTTCAGAAATGCGTTTCGGCTCAAAATTACTCTTCCTGCTGGTGAACATCAGTACAGATTTGAAGTACATCGTCATCCGACTAGTTCAACATCTGATATACCGTATATCGCCCAGGAATAGTCTGTAAAGAAGGCGTAGACAAATCTCTTATTCTCTTTGAGAAGCATTATCCTCTTTGGATTTGTTGAGTAAAATAATTTATGAGTATTGCTGAGCTCCCTATCCGTTCCAACTTATGGAACCAGTGAAGAAAAGATGTTTACGTCGTTTTCTTGTTCAGCAATCGCGAGGTTTTTAAACAGCATACATTTACTGCCATAGAAAAAGAGTCGTCAACCATATGCGACTATAATAAGCTGTTCAAAACTTCCTCATTGGAAGTCACGAAAAAGCGGCTCTAAAGAAGGCGATACTGCCGAAACGTCAGCTAGCGTTGTATTGTAATGTGCTTTTCTATGGAAGTAAATGTATGCCGTTTAAAAACCTCGCGGCTGCTGAACAAGAAAACGACGCATTCATATTCCAATGCCGAGGTTAATAGAAAGTCGATCCTGGAAACTATTAAAAGATGTTTAAGTCAATTTTGTCTTCCAAAAGTGTGACCACCGTATGTGTTTAGTTCGGCGAAACACTACCTTATCTTCCTGTGAATTTTAGCAATTTTGTTTTTCCTTTCGGCACAGTAAACATGTTTACTTATTTCTTAACTCGTCCCTTCGCTATTCTTCATTTTATCTGTTCTGTCCAATTTTGCAATGCAGTCATACAACGATGGTGGAAATCTTCATATCCATGGGAAAGTTTATGCGATGATTCGCGATCTTCTCAAAGTGAGTAATTCTTTGAGTAAAGTTATGGAGTAAATGAGTAAGGACCTAGGAGTAAGGATGTTCATTACAGGCTTATGACTTTAAGAAAAAAAGCATTTACACTTACCTTCATCAACAACAATATAATACCATGGCAACCTTTTCCGAAGAAAAATGATAAAGGACAAAGCGTTTAAATTGATGAATTCCTTACGGAAACGTCATTCATTCCATATATTCCATGCATTGCACTCCCTTAGACAGCGTGTAAGTGACTGAAAGCGTATTTTACCTAGAAAGGACGTAGCGCATGGATTAAAGGCGTTCTGCTATACATAGTGAATCAGTTTGGTCGTTCGATCCAGCGCTCAGGGCTCACCTCGTACATTCTGCCTCTAGGATCGGAAAATTGGTGGAAGAATTGCCTGGAAGGATGGAAACATTGACTTAATGTGCTTAATGAATTCGAATACATAGCACATTCCTGAAAAGGTGATGAAAACGGAATGCTTTTGGCTTTCGTTGTTGGCCTATCAGTGATTTGAAGGTGAGGCTAAAATTCAGTGTTTTTACCTACCCAGGCAAGTACAGGACCAACAAGCAACGCGAAAAGGCGGGTGGCTCGGTTAGCCTAAGGCACAAAGCTTCGAGTGTTTAATCAAACCTCTTGCTAAAGCGAACGAACTGGCTGATTATTTCTTTCTTTTTCGCCAGTCCCCTTACTACATAGTTCTTTATTATAGACCAATCCAGCTTTTTTAAAAATATTTTAACTCTGAAAAACTGCTACACCTGAATATATTCCATGAATATAAGATCGTCGATTGTGAATCTCTCGATTTCAGTCATCGAATCTTCTGATTGGTGATAATTCATCCTACGTGACAATCTACGTCTATTTCCTGCTCATGGTTAGTTTAACTGATAATTTGCAACGAAAGTAATCCGTGAAGTTGCCGTTTTTATAAGTGACTTTAGAACAGGAGAGCGAAACTTATATTCTTACCAAAAATATTCGTAGTCTCTATAAGATCAAAAAAATATCCATCAAGATGTCAATCTGCAAAACGATAAAATGATAAGAGTTAAGCAATACCGAGGCGGAAAAAAGAACTCGCGTTTGATTAGAGCCTCGGCAGCAAAATATAGCACTCCATCGTTAGTGAGATAAACAGTTGATCGTCTTCGGTGGCTGTTCTTAATTTGTTCTTATTTAACGAAAAAGTACAGCTCTCTGGTAAGTAAATGTTTAAAACTTTGCTCCTGTAACCCAAAAATTGGAAATGCTTCAGAAAATCATGATTGTTCTGATGATGATCGGATGGTCTGGACATATGAGTATGCCGCAGACATTGTCAACGATGACGTTCGACGGTGAAACTCGTCCAAATTCTTCACTTCCATCGGCAAAGCCGATAAAAAGTGACGAAAACCCTGCGAAATCCTTCACTAAGAAGCAAGATTTGTGAAACAACTCATCTTCACAGATGAACACAGTACCGTTGAGTTACAATATAAGTACAGCGTTTTAACATCGATGTGTGAGCTCATTAATAAAGATTTTCATTCCATTTTAGATCTAATAACAACGGGAAGACATAGTAGTGATGTGTCGAACAAGACCAGCAGACAATATTTATTCAATATGATTCCATATGATGACATAAAATCATATGTTGTGAGGTACTCACCACTTCCTTCATTCAATTCTTCTCGCATCCACGAAGATCTTCGGATTTTCGTGCGGATTTGGCTGGCGCTCGAGTATCTCAGATCTTCCTTATCAATGTCATTGAATGATGATCGAGTTCTTAAGTTTTGCCGATCTGAGGGAGCTTCCTGACATAGTCTGATGCAAATTCCTTGACTCCGGATAGATGGGAGGTGCGAAGGATCTGATGCGGGCTGAAACCATGTTGGTTTGCGTAGTAAACGGTTTCACTATTACTGCGCTACTCTTGCACCGTTTCATCAAGCTTCATTCTTGACGCCTAACACTAATCCTCTTTCATTTTTCATGAAAATGATTCCGAAGGAACATACGTCCACATGCCCAAGGAATATCAAGAGAACAATGGAATTCGCTTAACTATTGCTTCATGCCCTAACACATCAGTAAGATCTCGATTTAGTTCGTCACATGAGGATTGCAGTGTGAACTCCGCTCTTTCCTCCAACGTCCAGAACATCACAGTGTTAGCTGGAAGCTCATTATTCCTGGTCTCCTTCTTGAGATGGTGTCAACTGCTTGCCACCGAGTTTTGATGACACTTTTCATGAAATGAGGTCTGAGCACAGCGTGCATAAAACACCACCATAGGCGTTCATCATTCTTGCCGATTGGATAAAGGTTTTTCCTCTTCCGAGAAGCTTTCTTCTAGGTCAACAACGATTCCTGGCATAAGTTTATTCTCAAGCAGATTTGCCGAAATCTGTTTCAGCTTAGATAAGCTCTGCCGGAGAAGAATATTCCTATATTCGTAGCAATTTGACAACAAAGAACACTCTTTTGTTACAAGGTGCCAGTCTTCCTGCATTTCACCTTTAAAGTATATTGCCTTTGTTTTTACGAATAAACAGAGCTAGAGACAAACAACGGAAAAGATTCACGAAATTATATGACAACAATTAAATAGGAAGCCACCCAAAGGGGGTCAGTTTTCCAAAACAAACTGTTCTAGTATTTAACCTTGCCGCAGGAAAAGCTCACAGTGAAGAATGCTACTGGCAATACCTCACCAGTAACAGATTCTGGCTGTGGAAAGTACTACCAATTTTCATGGTCTCAGACCAGAAAAATAAGGATACAGAATTCCCGCGAATTTTCTACACCAATGACTCCTGAGATTAGCTGAGTGATGCTTCGATTACAGTAGAACAGACACTGCCCCATTTGATAGCCAGCTAAGAAATCGGAAAAATTCCCCGCGTAGTAGTACCTCGACGGAAATCGCATTTCCATAAGTTGTACTTTCACATAAAGCAAACCGAATCGTTTAATACCAACGAAATACACCTCCGTTAGATCGAACTTACAGCTACTGTTACCTGTTGACAGGTGTAACAGAGCACGCAAGAGAAGCAAGTACCTTAAGTTCTCCTTGTGAGTAATTAACTCTTCCTGATGAAGGCGATATCTTCCTCAAAACGATGACACAAAAGAGTCTGCTCCTTGGTTCATGCTATTTCATAGCGATTACAAAGTAGAAGTTTCTTCAGAACAAGTAGCTTTTATATCATCTCAGGGAGATTGTTTGTTAAGGCCAGTTTCCCAAGTACGAAGAAGCTCAAAACTTTTTGCAGGATGTTTACGGCCTTAAATATTAGCATTCTACAAAAATTTGAGTTTCACAAACCGAAAGGAACAAAAAATAAGACCATAACTGGTACAACATGCCAGTTGTACTTAGAGTTAATCCATCTCAAAAAGTTCAAAATCTAGGAGACCGAGATCACGAAATTAAACCGCTGGGTTGACAAAAAATTTAGTTTTCAAAACGAAAAATGTAATAACACTGCACGTGGTACATTCTACAAGAGCAACATTATTTTATTCCTACGACACGCCAAACTACAATACATTTGCACGCGGTAAAGCCGATCGGCGTCGAGCCGCGTCTTCGAAAGTGCTTTCGTTGTAGGTGGTATTGTGGTTTTCTTCTTTTTTTCCAACTGAATGATTTGTGGGAAGCCTTACCTTTAATTCGCTAACTAAATTACTATGCATTTCTAATGCCGATGTAGAGGACGCATGTAGTGTGGTGGTTAGAGGCGCTCTGCAATACACATGGGATCGATCTCCGCGCCTCCTGCACGCCAAGCTTTCCATCCCTTCCGGGTCGGGGCAGATTGGTACCAAACTTGTTTGTGGGATAGCAGCACCGGCCCGATACATCGGAAGGCCACCGCGAGTCATTGTGTTCACCCTATATGCGCTCAATCACCTCCAAACGATGCTTAATGAAGTCGAATGCATAGCGTTGATCAACGCCGAAACCTTTACCCTTTTTGTTACTAATGCTGACTTTGATATGCCATATGAAGTCAATCCGACATTTTGTTGTTGAAGGTTTATACTGTAGCAAATGGGTGCCACCGGATGGTTTGACCATTGTGGCTTTGCTCTTGTATTATGTAGTATATTCTTTACGGATATCCGTATACGAGAACTACTTCTAATCGATAATTTGAACAAGTCGCTATAAGAACCAGAACGGGGAAATTCCACTTTTTCCTCCGTATTCACTTAGTGTAATTTTTTCTATTGTTTTCTTCTTTTTATTCATTACTTTGCGGCTTACTTTCCCTCCCCCTTGATGGGTGTTATAACTTTACAGATTTCATAGTATTAATGATTTTTAAGGTTCTTATGGTTAATGTCTAAGGTTAAGGTTCTTTTTGCTAGGCTGAGTTTGCTGAGAATTTGTCACCTGTACTATGCCACGATGAGTACTACTTCTTGAAAAGAGCATGATATACTGTTCTGTTTGTTGTTCCTCGTCATCAACTTCCAATATTTTGGATCAGCCTTATTAAGGAGTTTGGAAGACAAGCTTTGAAAAGATCTACTTATTGTAAGCTTTAATCTGAAGGACCGAAGGCTAACTGCAAACTCAGATAGTCTTTGTTTCACTTCCTCCTCTCTTGGTAATGTTCTTAAATGTTTCGATCTTTTCTGGTTTCTTTCTCTTCCCCTCTTTCTCTTCGCTTAATTTTTCTTTACCTACTTACTTATTTTGTCTCAGATGAAAGACATCGCTTCGCTTTCGGATTCTGAACTACGTGATGAACTCGTTAAATACAATGTTAGTGTGGGACCCATTCTTGGAACAACACGTTCACTTTATGAGAAGAAACTTTTCAAACTAATAAAGGAGGGATCATCAAAAGGTGATTCCGCTCACCCTCAGAAGGAGAAGGTAACTTAGATATTTGCCCTTTGTTTTTTTTCTTCAAATCTGATTGGGTACTAATTGCTTCATAAACTAAGCTGTTCGAACTCTCATTCCTTTTTTTGTTTGTTTTTGTGGTTCTTATTCAATTGGGGTGTGTGTAGCGCAGTGGTCGGAAGCCTCTGTCATACACATGGGATCGATCCTTTGCTCCGGGCTCACCAATCCTTCCATCCCTGCGGGGTCGGCAAATTGGCACCCGACTTCTCTGGGAGGGGAGCAGCACTGGCTCAATATATTGGTAGGCCACCGCGAGTCATTGTAAAAGCCAATTATGCATTCAGTAACCTCCAATGGTGCTTAATGAAATCGAATACATAGCGCAACCCTCAGGGATAGATCAATGCCCAGACCTCTATCTTTTATCCTTTATTCTGCTTCTAATAGATTTATGATGTTCATCACGATTAAATTGCTTCCTCGTCGACGTCCACAGGTACAGTTTGAGTTGCTCAAACTCTGATTTAGTTGTAGATAACTTTATAAATCCTTGCTAGACATCTCCACCTTTAAAGCATTCTTCGTCGCCATCAAAATCACCATCACGAGGTTCACTCACACTACGTACTGCCACTCAGAGTACTCGTCGAAAGACTGCAAGATCTGAAAGTGAAGGTCGGCTTGTTCAGTTATTTGGAAAAGTCTTTATGTCTACTTTTTTTTTAATTTAGAGGGTTCAGACGAAGAACCAGTCGTTAATTCAACCTTTGATAAGCCACTTACTTCAACTCCTAAATCAGCTGATGAAGTTGCTTCGCTTGCGCCATCCGTTCCGTCCAGACAGACTGTTAGGTCGAGTGAAAGGTAAATTCCTAGCAATATGCCTCATTTATTAGATTCTTTAGCTGTTTTGAGCTGCATTTTGTGTTAATTAAAACGTTTGACTAGACGTAGTTGTAGACGCTTCCATACAACAACTTCGTCATCTGTACCACGTTCGACACCTCAAATTGTTCACGGATATGGCGGTGATCAACCTGGATCTACTCCTCCTCGAAAAACTGTTCTTCCCAAGTAAGAATTTGTAGTAATTTGTAGGGAACATTATTATCGCCGATTTCTCCTGGCTCTTTTTTACAGTGTTAGGACCGGCGGTTAAAGTCGATGAAAATCAGATATGAGTTTGACATAATATGTATTTACAACGTATCTCAACCTGCTTGCTCATTCATCATATTCTTATTAGTGCTGAAGCTCCTTCCTGTACAATTTATGTTACCAAATTCTTTAGGACTCCACCACGCCCTTCGACACGCGTAACAACAACGACGTCTTACACTTTGTCCCAAGACTCCGATCGCAGTGGGCTCTTTAACAAAAGCAATAGGACTGCATTCGGGACCAGTTCAGTTGGTACGTCGAAAGTCTTTTGATAATATTTAGCAGCTTTTTCAGCGCGTTTACTGAAAGTTTTTATTGCTATACTTATTGTTGTCCACCTAGTATACCTTCTGCAGTTTATCGCTGCATTGTTTTCTAGGATATCAAAGTGATGAGAAAGACTTGATCTAGGTTCTCGTGGTTTACTTGATTTGGGAAACACGATTGGTAACGATGATGATGATGACGATGGTCAAGAGTCGAGTCGCTATATATATACCACTAGAACTGCAGGTCCTGAGAGACGGTCTCCGTTGCGCAAAGCTTGGGATAACCTTCTTGGATACGATGTGCGTCAGATTTATCAATCACGCCATTTTGTTTAAGTGAGTAAACATTTTCTTTCCAGTTTAAAGCAGGAAAGGTGCCAGGGTCCCAGTATGAGCTTCGTCACGGGTCAACTACAACTCGTGTTGATCGAGATCCTCGAACCGGAAGAATTCGAGTGCAGCAACACAGTATCGGAAGGTGAGTTTTCAGCTTATTCTTCTGCAGTAAGGTTTTTAAAGTATTATTTATCGACAGATTGTAACGGTTGTATTTAGTATCTACAAAGGTTACCAAAAAATTCGTCAATGTTTCCTGTTAGGGTTACATCATGGGTTCGTATTTCCTGGGATGTTTGGATTGCTTTCAGCCACTAAAGTTCTTACCCATCGTTTTCTTTGAAAGATATGAGATCGCCATATGATGAGCTTGATTTTGAACTACATGGCTTGAACACCAGTTTCTCCAACGGAGAAGTCGAACATTCGTGTTTCTTCATTTATTTGCTAAATTCCACACCGTCTTACTTCTTGATTTTATTGATTCGAAATAATTGCCGTTTTAGAATTGTACTTTTGCGAAACTTTAGTTCGGTTAGAATACGGCTTTTTTTAAATAAGAATAGGAACTATTAGAGCCTACAGATATCTGACAACACGTTCAGAGTTTGTACTTGGGTAGTTTTTGTTGTCTTAAAAAGCGCAAGATATTTTCTACATGTTGCTTGCTATGAAACATTGCACGTTATGCTCTCATAATCATTTTCTCGTTTTATGGTTTAGATTTCGTCGTCAGACATGATCAATCCTTTCCCATATTTACCATAGCTGTTACCACGCCAAATATTTTTGATATCGAACTCCTATGGATATTACGATTCGGTAGTTTACGATTGCGATTCACCTGTATCACTTGTACTCTCTATGATCGTTAAGTAACGCGAGCGGATACCAGCTCAGTCTCCAGTTGTTTTAGTCGCATGCAAAAGCATCCTATTGGATTCTTATCGATCTTGACACTCAAATAACATTACGTGTTTCGTCTAGGATCATCGTGAGGAGCTGCGATCATTGTGTTGGTGATTTTCCTGCTGCTTGCTTGACATCTTGTTAGCATCCGTAACAAATCTGTTCCTTATGAACATCGTTTTCGTGACGCTAGCTTTTCCGGTTTTCACATGACATTCTAGATAGTGACTGTAAATGGGTTTTCGCTTGAGAGGTTAATATTACCGAAACCCTCTTTACGACAATGGTAATGTCTTTTTAGACTGATTGGCAGTAGCTATTTCAGATATCCAGCTGTAATCCTACCTAGGAGCGTGTGTGGCGTAGTGGTTAGAGGTGCCAATGCGACACGCACGTGGAATCGATCTCCGTGCCCATGGCCCACCAAGCCTTCCATCCTTTCGGGGTCGGCAGATTGCTACCAGACTTGTCTGGGAGGATAGCAGCACTGGCTCGATATATCGGTAGACCACTGCGAGTCATTATAAAGGCCAGATATGCATCAAGTCACCTCCAACGATACTTAGTGAAGTCGAATGCAATGGTGTATCCCTCAGGGTTCCTACCTAGACCAATTCCTGTAGGGTTAGTACCTTGACGAAATAGCCAACGTAGGAAAAGAGGACTGATATGTCGGGATAGCTGTTTTCTAACCTTATCTGAAGCGAAAGATTTTTTTTTGACGTTGGAGGCAATAAAGGTGGTTAGCGCAATGGAAGTAATGCTGTTCATCACGAACATTGTGCTGGTTCTACCATAACCAATTTCTCCAAGCCTCTCATCTCTCAAGGATCGGGAAATTTGTAGCGGACTTGTCTGCGACAAGTTCACTCTACAATCCAAGTGGGAACGGTGTAGGTTGGCTATCTAAAGACTCTAGGAAGAATCGACTCTACTGGCATTCAACGACATTTGTAAAAAAGACTGTAGTCGTCAAGCAGGAGCCGAACCTCACGGCGAAAATACGAAGACTTTCGTGAGATTGATGCAAACAAACAAATCGAATGCAAGAAGTGCTAAGGTCCACACAGTAGATCTGAAGAGACATCGTATGAGATAAAATAAATAATAAAGCATTATTTGAAGACATATGGACGTGGCAGTGAAAGAGGTCGAATTATGACTTATGGGTGAACATTTTCATTGCTTTCCTGATTGTAACCATTATTCTGTCACTACTGATTCCATATTGAACTTGCCGTTGGACGCGGATGCACTTCCCAAATATTTTTCGATATCCTTCATATTTATCTATCGCAGAAGTGTTGATCTACTGGTTTTCTACTGTATGGGTACTCTGCGTTGAAGTAGTAGTATTTCAACGTATGTAACCGCTGCTGGTCATTTCCTCAGTTATTCTGATTTTCTTTTAGACCGGTTACGCTTCATCCTAGGCAACCCATCTTTTATCATAACTGTCTTGTTTTAGACACGTGTTTTTTCAGCTGTAGTCTTTCTGAAGAGACATTATCTGGTTCCTTTTGAGATCTGGGCGAAACGGCCAAAGTACAGGGTGGTTCATGAATAACTGCTGTATTCACAGTGAAATTTGTAAATTTTGCTGTAAATATTAGTTGCATAGTTTTGTTGTATTCCATTGTAAAGCTCCTTTCTTACCTATTGATTTGACCTAATATTTTTGCTGTAACATAGTTTCGGAACTTTGTTTGGGATTTTGGAGATCCTTTTGGAATTCTTTTAGACCGGTTGAAATGGTGCTGTCATGAAAATCGCGTTGTTTTCTTTATGAACTCGAACATAGAATTAAAGTTACTGTGGATACTCGAAATATTGTCTAAACATAGGGTCAAAGAAGGTTTCTGAATGCACAATGAGGTATTGGTGCAAACAGTTTCGGGTCCGAAGTATGATTTCTCATGATGTTAACGAAATGGGTTCTTACCATTTGTTGATGAGTACCGCCTGAAGCGGATAATCGATACAACCCCTCTACAGGGTTTCAGTGCAAGTCAGCATCCTCATTTTTACAGTTTTTCATCATTTAGAAACCTTTGAATATAGGAGGAAATTTTCTTAATAGGTTCCATATGAATTGGACATTTGGCAGCAAACTCATTATCAATAACGATGCAGAGGTTGAACGAGCTGAGCAAACGAGTTTTCCACACAGTCTACTCATTGACGTTCTTGCTAATCAGCTACAATTTTTTTCAAACACTGCTAGCTGAGAAAACCTTCCACAATTCAGCCACTTGTAAAATTATCTATGAAGGATTATTATCTTCTAGAACTTTCATGTTTTGAGCCGTCTACTCAGCAAATTTGTTTCTTTTTCGTTAGAAATGTGTGGAGTCCAAATATTTCGTTTTGAGATCACTAGAGTTCTTTGTGAGTAGAGTCACAAAATTTCAAGTTTATTGTTCAAATCTGGCGATTATTTTCGAACCAAGCTAATTCACTAAGTAGACAACCTAGTGAACTGAAACTAAAATTGCGAACCAAACCCATCCATTTGTAATTGTTATTAGAACTTCTGCGAAATCAATGTCAAGACTGTTTTGTTGGAGCTAATGCATTCTAGAGATATTTCAACAATACTGATGATGACTCTAACCGTATTTTTTGTGCTATTGGCTATCGCCTATGTTGGTACTGCTCGGCAAGATTCTGTAGCAACCACTATTCACACCATATCAGGTTAGTGTTTACCTTGACCCTACTTCATGATTTACAAATCCCATCGTTATGCAATTGGTTATTTAGGTGCCATTCGAGACACTGTCCACTTTTTCTACACGTACGCAATAGTACCATGTCTAATCATCTTGGGAGGTAAGTACTTCCCATCGCAATATCTGGTTTGCTTAGTTATCGTTTTTTGCATTATATGAGCTTGTTATGAATAGATGGTTTGCTTTTTTAAAAAATTGCTTGCAGCCGCAGCAGGAGTGTTTGCGCTTTATTTTGGACATAAAAAATGGACTGAAATGAAGGAAAGAGATGAAGCAGCGTTTTATGACCTTGTTGACAGAATTCTTGGTAGGTGCCTTTTCTTTCTTTTTTTGTTATCGAGATTTCCAACGTTCGTGCTGTTTAAAGATATTGTGCGTGAATCAAGCGAGAACGGCGAGGAGTATATCTCAATTCCTCATGTCAGAGATGTAATGTTTCCGCCTGCAAAAAGGTGAGCATTTAGCACATTTTGTACATAAAATTAAACATTAATTTAATTTAAGGAAAGGTGTTTGTTTATCTGGAAGAGTGTAGATCTAGATGTTTCTACTCAGATCTTTTACGATTTTGTCCTAATAAATTGATATGGTTAGGTTAGCGTTAATAGCATAATGTTGTGGAAAATTGAGAAGCAGGGCTAAAGAGTCTGTCTATGAAGTATATTGCTGGTGATGATGTTCTGTTGTACATGGAACTAGCAGCCAGTATAGATTAAGTCTTGTTGTTGACAATCTCGTGTTCTTTCTTTGATGAGCTTACACGAGATTGATAAAGAGTTTGTTTATAAACTGTTTATCACCCTCGTGTATGCTCATAAAAGAAAGAGTACATATTAATTAGTAATACCGAGGCTAAAGGAAAGTCGGTTTCGAAATCTTGTGTCTGCTCAAAGATAAAGCAGTGACTAGCTGAAGTATTTAGACGCGGTGCAGAACTTGCTCGTTGGGAACGTGCTGTTGATTTCATTAATGCTAACGAATCACGCATCGCAACAGAAACCCGTGTTCTTCGTGGTGGACAGGAATGCGATGTGTGGAGATGGATTCCAGCGAAACGTACCGGCTGGCAGGGATCGGGTAGGCTCTAAGCTATGTACGTTTCAATCAAAGTCCGAAATAAGCGCCTATCGTGTTATTTCCGTTTCTCGCTTGTTGATGATGTTTTCGAGAGTGGTTGGAGTAAACAGAATTTCTGTGCTTAGCCCAAAAATGTATCTGTTTATGAGCCATATTATGTATTAAATTGCTTTCTTATTAACTTTTCATTGTTTACTATCCTGTCTAATATAATATTCTAAAAAATTTGATAGCTTTACATAGAAATGGGAACATCGTACACGTACTGTTCAACGTTATGTCATTAATATCTTCGTTCTCATCTTTCTCATGATCTTTGCGGCTCTTGTATGTTTGATAACTTACAAAACAACTGGGGCATTTCAAAAATTGATAACGAGATTCCTATTTTCGCAAGCAAATAACAGTTGTTCTATGTTTGCTGTAAATGAAGGTTGGAATAAATCTGTCGTGTATTCTGTTTTAGAGACTCGATTAGTTTGTCCTTCGGTAGCGTGATGTTGTGTTTTAAAGCAAAAACATTGGCTAGCTGTTTGCTTGCTGAAAAGCGTTCTAGGAGGAGTGAGGAAAGGGGAAAGGAATGGACCTTAGTGATGCTGGTTCATTAATAAAACGATTTCTTTACTTCATTACCTTGTTAGATTCTCTCAGGTGGCATTTATCCATGGTGACTTCACAATATATTTATTAGCCAACGGGTGATTGCTACGAAATTTCAGCGTTTGCCCCACCTCCTGGAATGAACGTACCATCTTCGAAAGTCTTGTCTCCGAATATTCCTGTGGTAGCGCTCACTCGTTGTCTGAAGATAAGGGACATGTTCGGTAAAGAGGACGTTGAGGAAGATGAGTGAGTTATTTAGAGTTCCAAGCAGTTGATTATCCAGTTGATGTTGTTTTATAGATCAATCACTTTTGGGACAATTCTACATGTTTCCCATATATGGGTGAGCTACACTCCAGCTTTTAGTCTGTACAGGTTTTTGCTGGTTGTTGACTTGTTAAACGCTGTCCATAGGCGATGATATGCATTTTCTTGGAAACATAGGCTGTTTCTGGGAAATTTTTTTGCAAGCTTTGAGAGCAGCAAGAAGTCGGGTTGAATTGATAAGGTTGGCCTATCACATTAACGTAATCGTGGTCGGTAACTCAAACAACACTTGCAGTCCCAGGAAAAAGTCTAAAGAACTTTTTGTTTCTCTACGTATTTATTTGTTTGCAGAAAATTCATGGATTGCAATAACTTGAATAATATTAGAAGCTATTTAAATTTAATGAGCCATCTAATGTTGGCCGCGATAGCCTACAACAGTGCAGCTCCTCGCAACACTGAATCTAGTGCAAAGTGATGTGACATCATTGGCAACATTTTCTTCGTTCGAACATATTACTTCGCTGTTGTCGTTGTCGTCTTGAATAGAATGGTACCACAGCCGCTGCAAGTACAGACAAAACCGCAAAAGGTCCTCCTTGTTCTTTGTTGAGTTCTGGGTGCTATAATGTTTCTGTGAGATGTTTATCCTTGGTAGTTTGAGCTAAAGTTCCTTAGAGACCAAGGAAACTACAGAATCACAGCATCGCGTTCCGATTTTAAAACAGAATAGTCGCTACATCATTGAGGGCAATCAATGTGTATTCACGTTTGCTCCAATTTCTTCAAGGTCCACATGTATTTGCCTTCGTATAATACCGTCTTGCGAAGATCTCATTGTTAATACGTAGTAGTAGTATATCCTTGGTTACACATGTGATTCATTACTTCGGCGCCTGGCCCGGAGCTGTTCAATTTCAGTTCAATTCGACGCCTTCTGTTAGTTAACTAGACATGTTAGTTTATCTTAAGTCATATAATATCATGAGGTATTAACTATATAATAATCCAGAAATTTTGTACATTATCATGACTATTCGCGTCGTAGCCGCGAGTAGCGCATATGTCTGAGATCTGCAATAACACACGCATTGGTCCTTGGTTGAATTCCGCCCTGTTCAAACCAAGCCTGCTATCTCTCCGTGTTTGGCAGTGTGGTACTATACTTGTCTAAGAAGAGCTTCAATCAAAAAGGCAGAGGGCTGTGCATTACGGAGATATGAGAACACTCAGAGTTGTCTCAGGATTCCAGGGATAGTCAACTATACCACCATACACTGGCATTTGTGAAGGAGATGAAGTTCACAGTTGGCAGCCGAACTCAAACGCAAGTTTGAAGACGTTCGTGGGTGACAGATGCTAGGCAACGAGCCCGAAGAAAGAATTTGTGAAGTCTGCACAATAAGTAGAGTTGGGTCACGTGAGTAAGTCTTCTCAAAAAAAAATTGGGAAGTTAGTGCATTCATATAGGAAGACAGGAAATCCTGGCCAGTTATAGAATCTGTGGAAAACTGAAGTGACGGGAGTTGTTTTTAGTTGTTTCTCAGGGTGGATGTGGATGGAATCAAGCAAGCATTGAGGGATAAAGTGTATCCAGTGATACCGCTGCACATCGGTGTTGATGTGGATTCTAAAGAAGGTGTTGTTTTCATGAAGCTCGCTAGCAAGGCCGACGCTAAAGCTGCCTTCACCGCGCTTCATGGTGATTGGTACAGCGGTGAGCGTTCTTTTTTATTTTATGGTTCTATTCTATGTTTATTGCGATGATCTTTTAATATGTTTCGAAAAGATGATGAGCTTATCTCTATGGAATGTCTATTCTGCTGTCCATGCAAATGATATGAATTGATTGTATGAATTTTTTCGCTTCTAGAATGCGTAAATGTTTCCGTCCTAGTTAAACCATTGAACAAAATCTCGCCCTCGTATTCTGCAAGACATAACAATTTATTTTAGTTTGTAGCTTCAGAGGATTTTTCCTTTTAAAATTTTTTGTTTTTTTCAAATTCATTTCCGTATATGGAGTCCCCCGAATTTTTTAATTGACACTGGTCTAAAAAGGTTTTTTTACAACTCTGGGTTCAGGGACTTGCTTTATTACATATAAGGTCTGCAAAGTTTTATCTAATTGGTAACAGGTCTATAGATCTGTCCTTAACATAATAGGCATCTCAGACATTGGAACGTTTGCCTTTCATTGTCATACTATGTATGACATAAGTTCGTTCACCTTCTACTTTCTGCGGAATCCACCTAGTGTCTGTCAGAGATTCTGGACCTTATCGATTGTATCTGAAGGTTTCAAGTTTCGTCTTTTTGTTCTCATTCGAGATAAATGTTAGTTTTATATCCCTCCAGAAAAGGTAATCGCGGGTTCGAAGCTCAGCTAATGTTTGTGTTTTCGTTTTTTCCGAGTTTTGCTCATATCCGAGCATCGTTATAGTTGTGTTTCACGCGGTACCCTAAAGTGAAAAAAAAGCTGTAGTAAATAAAAATTGAACATAGTGATGATTTTGTTGCTAGGAACTACTGCTTGTTTTCTTCTAGATCTCTAAATACGTTTTTTTATTTTTAAACAGATTGCAGTCCTTTTGTGGCGTTCATCATTTTGAGCACGTCTCCAGTTTCTGCTGTGTGAGCCACATTATTGATTCTGGGATGGACGGTTGTGAATATCGTCTTATAACTGTCTTGGCACTGCTAGGAAATGTTTGAAACGTCTTTCATTTTTTTTCTGTTTACGACGTTTGGCTTTTACATATTTGAGCAAAGTAATGTGATTTTATTTGGTGCTTTGATACACGTGATTCTCGGAATATGTTATGATAAAGCGAGATAAATTGGGTTGATTCATTTATGATACGCTGAGGCCACAGTGATAGAGATTCCGTTTAATACGCGCAATGGCTTAGTTCGACTGCGAGGGAGCCCAGTCGAGCCTGCCGTCACTCTGGGGTTGAGGAGTTGGTATCAGACGTATCTGGGATCACACAGCTGATCCAGAAGACCTATGATCGGTCTAATACGAGGAACCCAGAATAAAGAGAAACGACTCAACGATTCAACGTGCATTAAACGACATTCACGGAAGAGGACCAAGGTCCTCAAGGGGCAACCGAATCTAGGGACTTTCGCAGATTAAGCATAGGAGGAAATAAGTCGAACAAAAGAAAATACTGAGATCCCCATACGAAATGTCGAAATATGTAAAGCGCAGACAAAATTTCGAGGTAATGGGAGCAGTTGTGGTTACTGTAGCATTGCTGCTTGAATATTCGACCAGTCTTCATGCATTTTTCATTCAATTTTAATCTCTCTTGAACCAACGCTAGTTACCGGGCTACGCGGATCTCGTAAAGAGGTTGGTCACCTTCTGACTAGATTTTTTATTACGATGGTGTTTCCTGCAATTGGTTTACTCTTACTTGAACTTTTGAGTGGAAGAATCACCTCTGCTCTGTATGCTGCAGTTCGATATCCAAGAGCTCTTATCAGTAACTAGTAAATCGTTGGAGAATATAACATATAAAACTTATTAAATCAGTTCTATGCTGTGTAAATTTTTTCATTGTTGAGTTGAAGTTGAAGGATGAAGCTCTCGGCGTTGACCAATTCCTGAAGGATGCGCCATGCATTCGACTTCATTAAGTATCGTTGGAGGTGACTTAATGCATATCTGGCCTTTATAATGACTCGCAGTGGTCTACCGATATATCGAGCCAGTGCTGCTATCCTCCCAGACAAGTCTGGTACCAATTTGCCGACCCCGGAAGGATGAAAGGCTTGGTAAGCCATGGGCCCGGGGATCGATTTCACGTATTTGTTGCACGGTGCCTCCGACCACTGCGCCACACGCGCCCTTGAGATACACCCACGAATAATCTGATTTACATTGCATTAAGGTTACACTCTAGCATACAAGCCTATAAGTTGTTGTTTTGCAGAGCATTTCCACGATCAAGTTTATGTTGTTTTGCCAGGAATGTAAAAAAAAATGCTGAGTATATTTTCTGTCTAATTCCAGATAATTCTAGACCTCTTGCTAGATCACTGAGTGGCGCTCAGAAGTTATGTTAGAGCGTCTTTTTGAAATAATTGGTAGTTATAGGACAATAAGCGATTCCACTCAGATGGTAGGGTG